TACAGAGGGCAGTGGGTAATATTGGGGTACAGAGGCAGTCAGTCAGGGAGATAGTGGGTAATATTGGGGTACAGAGGTCAGTCAGGGAGATAGTGGGTAATATTGGGGTACAGAGGTCAGTCAGGGAGATAGTGGGTAATATTGGGGTACAGAGGAGGTATAGATAAAAGGGTTCTGCCCAGGGAGGGCAGTGGGTTTATTTTAGAGAATAAATGGATTAAACCCCAAAGTTGATTGTAAAAGGTAGATCAGACACCTTCCATATTCAGAAGCCATAGCCAAGAAATGCCCCAAATAACCACATGTGACAAACTTATTAAATTGTACTATTTCTCTTTATTTTGAGTTGTGCAGACAGGAAATGGGATTATCCAGCAATTCCATCGATGTCACAAACTCAGAGGATGATTCCACATCCCCTTCTAAAAACAAGGTATAGTACTGTGTGTACCATGACGTGCATCGCCTTATACAAGGAGTGAGCATCTCTGCACCGTTTAACTCTTCTTCTGTCATGAGTCGTACATCACAGGTTCCATAACATAAGTATGAAGATATTTTGGGTCACAAAGGCATCCTGAAAGTACTGATACAACTTTGTGTGTCCCTTGTAAACTTCACTCCATTATTAATTTTCATTTAGTGAGCCTATGTCAGTAAGGCCTTTTAGTAAATTTGACATATAAAAGGTTGCATGTTAAGAGTAAATATGGGTCTAGTTTTACTTGTATTTATACAGAAAAGCTTATACAAGTAATATTGATGAAATGGTTCTCTGATAGAAAGGTGATGGCTTTCTGTAATGGCAAATAATGCAGGTTTTCTTGTGCAGGAGATAATCGTTGCCCCTGGGGAGCACCCACTGCAATACAAGTACACATTCTGGTACTCTCGTAGAACACCATCCCGGCCAGCAAGTACCCACAACTATGAGCAGAATATCCGACAGTTCGGCACCGTAGCCTCAGTAAGTGTCTCTTATTAAACAATAGTTCTTGTCTCAATCCCTAAAATACTATTACACTTACACATAGATCAGTTACTAGAATTGCCTGCCACCTTCTCATACTCACTATGGCATGTAAACCGCCAGAATGCCAGGCTCACCCTCACGCACTATAAAAATTTATGTACAGCACAGACGGGTACACTGCCAACTTCTCATTCTCAAATCTAGCCACATGGTTCTTTTTAAATGAAAATTCCAGGCACCATAATAACTTAATTGCGGAGTGGTCGTTTAAGTGTAATAGCCATTTATTGGTGCCGCACCATTTAAGAGCTTGTCATTACGCCTTGAAATATAAACCGCCCTGTAACGGATCAACGGGCACCCCGAATGAATACCTCCGTTGAAGGATGCTCCTAGTGCTTCCTGAGGGCTCCAAGCACTCCAGCCGACACCATAACCACTGGAGACTTCTCCAGAGAGCAAGGCAGGAACAAGCTCTTACAAGAGCTTAGTAATGATTTTAGCAAGGGAGTATGACAAGCATAGCAATCCCTTGTAGCAAATTCCCCCCAATAAGAGACAGGACTCAGATTGAGGGTTAAGTAGAACTGCGAGAGCTGTGGGTTTATTGTTCTTAAATACACATTATTACACATTAGTACCACCCACAGGGTTTTTTAAAACAACCAATAAACACGTACAATACACTCAGACACTCCCACACAAAATCCTCCCCTCTGCCTGTGATACAATTACCTTACACAATGGGTAATGTAATTATAACAAGCAGAGAAATACAGTTTTAGACAATATTCATAACTTTACAAGTATGCATCACATTCACAAAACTTACATTTTCAGAATCAGCATATCCAAATACAAACATACGTCAAAATCATACAAATTGGTCCAGTAGGTCAAAAGTTAGATCGTAGTCCTTTGTGACCAAATGAAGCATGGCTTTTCTGCCCAAAACCAGTTCCACAGAGTCTTCTATCCTGGAGATAATTGGGAAGTAATCCAATTATCTCCAAGGACAGAGGCAAAACTCCATTAGCCACATGGTAGCAAAAGACAATAAAATACATAAATAAATATAACTGTGCAGCTATTGCATAAAACAGGTACATTCAACATATCCCCAGATAGCTCAGACCTGAGCGCACATTATTACTGAATGGTGCTCGGATCACATATATACAGTTCAATTGCCATGGAGCCAAAGTCTTTCACATAGTCTTTCGTTATACGAATGGGCTCCATGGCATAGCTATCTGGGGTATCACAGTTCAAAAAGGGAAAGTACCGAATGATCCGGCTTTCGGGTCTTTGCAGGGGAAAATCAAGCATTTCAACATGGGGCCATAGTCAGGGAGCAGGAGGCTGGCAATCAGTCTTCTCCAGTGGCGAGGCTGGTTCCGCCACACGCCCACACTACAAATTACGACATCACAAAATGTAAAGACTGCAACGGTGCCAGCCCATGTACATTATCTCTGGTCTTCGTGTACACACAGGTGGAACAGTTCTGGAGAATATACAGCCATATAGTACGTCCAGGAGACCTTACAGGATACAGTGATTTTCATCTCTTCAAAGATGGCATCAAACCCATGTGGGAAGTGAGTGTTATATGTGACATGGTCTATTAAGGACTACCTATTCACTGTGAGTGATATACTTTGTGTATGGACTGGTATGCAGTGTCTGTGCACAGTGAGCGATCTAATGTGTGTATAGACTGGTAAGCACGGTCTGTGCACAGTGAGCGATCTAATGTGTGTATGGACTGGTAAGCACGGTCTGTGCACAGTGAGCGATCTAATGTGTGTATGGACTGGTAAGCACGTTCTGTGCACAGTGAGCGATCTAATGTGTATATAGACTGGTAATCTCGGTCTGTGCACAGTGAGCGATCTAATGTGTGTATGGACTGGTAAGCACGTTCTGTGCACAGTGAGCGATCTAATGTGTATATAGACTGGTAATCTCGGTCTGTGCACAGTGAGCAATCTAATGTGTGTATGGATTGGTAAGCACGGTCTGTGCACAGTGAGCAATCTAATGTGTGTATGGACTGGTAAGCACGGTCTGTTCACAGTGAGCGATATAATGTGTGTATGGACTGGTAAGCACGGTCTGTGCACAGTGAGCGATATAATGTGTGTATGGACTGGTAAGCAGTGTCTGTGCACAGTGAGCGATATAATGTGTGTATGGACTGGTAAGCACGGTCTGTGCACAGTGAGCGATCTGGTAATGTCTGTGCACAGTGAGCGATATAATGTGTGTATGGACTGGTAAGCACGGTCTGTGCACAGTGAGCGATATAATGTGTGTATGGACTGGTAATCACTGGTAAGCTCTGTGCACAGTGAGCGATATAATGTGTGTATGGACTGGTAAGCACGGTCTGTGCACAGTGAGCGATGCACAGTGACAGTGAGCGATATAATGTGTGTATGGACTGGTAAGCACGGTCTGTGCACAGTGAGCGATATAATGTGTGTATGGACTGGTAAGCAGTGTCTGTGCACAGTAGCGATATAATGTGTGTATGGATGGTAAGCACGGTCTGTGCACAGTGAGCGATCTAATGTGTGTATGGACTGGTAAGCACGGTCTGTGCACAGTGAGCGATATAATGTGTGTATGGACTGGTAATCACGGTCTGTGCACAGTGAGCGATATAATGTGTGTATGGACTGGTAAGCAGTGTCTGTGCACAGTGAGCGATATAATGTGTGTATGGACTGGTAAGCACGGTCTGTGCACAGTGAGCGATCTAATGTGTGTATGGATTGGTAAGCACGGTCTGTGCACAGTGAGCAATCTAATGTGTGTATGGACTGGTAATCATGGTCTGTGCACAGTGAGCGATATAATGTGTGTATGGACTGGTAATCACGGTCTGTGCACAGTGAGCGATATAATGTGTGTATGGACTGGTAAGCAGTGTCTGTGCACAGTGAGCGATATAATGTGTGTATGGACTGGTAAGCACGGTCTGTGCACAGTGAGTGATATAATGTGTGTATGGACTGGTAAGCAGTGTCTGTGCACAGTGATTGAATTAATCTGCCGTGATAGAAAAGAAAGGCTGTCCTGATTATTGCATCTTCATCATGTTACTTTATTTAAATCTTGGGAGGGATTAAACCTGTAGTTAAAATTCTGAACACTTTAATTTTTGTTCTAAGGATGAAGCTAATAAGAATGGTGGAAAGTGGATTATTCGCCTCCGGAAGGGTCTGGCGTCTCGTTTCTGGGAGAATATTATCCTGGCCATGTTAGGGGAGCAGTTTATGGTGGGAGAGGAGATCTGTGGGGTGGTGGTCTCTATTCGTTTCCAGGTGGGTTATTCTCAATCATGTTCACTAATGTGAAGGGTGTCATATACATATATATTGCACTTCTTTACCAGTTTGCATGTCGGTGGTTTTTGTTGGTTATTTTTATGTGTTTTTTTTGCAATCCTCCTGGCTAGAAGATGCCTGGGTTACTTTGTGGCCTATACCAACCTCATACATGTTTGATATTTTCTACTGCAACCTTTGTTTTCCCAATATCATCTAACATTTTTTAATGTCCAGGATCTTTTTCACTTTGCTGATCTCACAGTTTGTCAGTTATTCTTATAATGCTGGCCTTTTGCTGTGTTCTTTTATAATCTCTCCTCTCTCTCTGTGTAATCTTTGTTGGAAACACTGTTTTAGCTTTGCTTCCAAGAGAAATGTTTGCGTAGTCTCTCAATCTGAGATCTTTCATTTCTGTTTGTATAACTCCTTGACACAGTCTCCCCTGCTCTCTCAGTAAATCAGGTTGTTCCTTGGTATTACCTGGATTTTGGTTTTCACTCCCCGCAATCCATCCTGTGCTAGTCATAGTTTATGGATAATTCTCTTTGTATATATCTCTGCACAACACTACTCTCTTATATAGGCTTATGTTCTCCCTGCATGTCCAACATACCGACTTGGTTTAAATCCACAGGCAAGGTTTCCAGCAGGTAAAATACAGCAATATCCCAACAGCAATCCCAATAACTGGATGACACACAGTTTCAGGAGCAGAACTGAAAGCTTTAATCCACAGTCTCCTTTTAAAGCATGGTCCCATGCAAGGGAGGGATTTACAACATTAGTACAGTAGCCAATTCTGTCCTGGTATATATATGTCCCTTAAATATATAGCATGCTCCTCCAGCTGTTCGAGATTCTCACCCAATTACCTGTTCATTCCCCTAACATCTTACCAATAGCTGCTTCTCTGTTAACTCTTTCAGCCATCACCTCCAAACTTCCCCTGCTACCTTTTGTCTCAAATCCCCCTGGTATCCTTTAGATTGTAAGCTCAAGGGCCATCTAGCTAAGCACTTTGTATAAAGAGCTCCAATGGCTAGATATCAGCTTACGGGCAGGGCTCTCTTACCTCTTGTATTTGTTTGTGTATATTGTATGTTTCTCAACTAATTGTACAGCGCTGCGGAATCTGTGTGCGCTTTATAAATTATAATAATAATAATATGTGTATCCTAATGATTAAATGCATTGGATTGGCTCAAATCGGCACGGTGCTGGTCCAAATGCTGTTTTGACCAATTGAATCAATGCATCTCTATGAGCAAAATTCAGCATCTCCATGCAGAGCTTGGGGACGCTGAACGTTATTGCTGCTTTTTCGGCAGCACTGACCCAGGAAGCACCTCCAGTGGCCATCTAAGGAGTCGCCTCTTGGACGTGTCCCTAGAGGCAATGTTAACACTGCTTTTTCTCTGAAAAGGCTGTTTTACATGGGAAAAAAGCCTGAGGGGAACTATTATACTCACCAGAACAACTACATTAAGCTGTAGTTGTTCTGATGACTATAGTGTCCCTTTAATGTAGTTGATATGGTGAGTATAGTATGTCCCTGCAGGCATTTTAATGTAAACGTTTCGTTTTTCTATGTGCAGTTTGTTACTGGCGGTCTGTGTGTCCATCTGCCATACTCACACCTTATCTCCCCACAGGAGGATCTCCTTTCTATCTGGAACAAGACGGCCAATGACCAGCTGAGCACAGTGCGAATCCGGGACACGTTAAGAAGAGTTTTAAATCTACCTCCCAATACAATCATGGAATACAAAACTCACACGGACAGTCTCAAGTAAGCCCTATACAATCTCCTTGTTTTCGTAGATCAGCCAGTGAGCTGGTTCATTTGGTTAAAGTGGCAAAAATAGTGTAAAATGTTTTCATATCTAATTGTCAGCAAGGACAACTGTAAAAGCTACCCAGCACGAGTACTGAAGGTTTGTTGTGATGTAAAATGTTTAGTAGATTCCTGAAGCCGTCCAGTGATAAGTTACTCTTTCAGTGTTTCCGTATCTTATTTATTTATTCACAGTTTAAAGTTATCCATGCCGCAGTTTATTATACTGCGAGTCATGTGGAATTACAAAATCACATTTACAAACATTTCTGTTACGTAAACCTCCCATGTAACGGGCCTCTTCTAATCTCAGTATGTCTGGAGACTTCATTTTATCGCTCATATTTCTCCGTCTCACTTGGAATTTCATTTATATATTTATATATATATTTTTTTTATTTTTTTTTATTCTTCCAGGGACAACTCAAGTTTTCGAAATACAAAAATTACCGTATAGCACCCAGGGCATGTGTTTTCTCAATTACCTCTTAAACGGCCGTGCAGGCATGAATGTATCCATGGCCTGGGACAATATGTGGGTAAAACCTTTTCCATCCTGAAAAAATCATGAATCTGTTCTACAAATGAATACTTGGTCTCAGGGCAGCCATTACTATATGCAAATGAGAACTCGTTGAAAGCCACTTTACCCCAACTTGCCGTCCATCTTACTGCAGAGGTTTCTGGAAATACCCGTAACGCAGCAATGGTAGTAAAATGCTAAGGGTGGGCGTAGATCCAGTGCGTGGCAACTCAGTGTGCCTTTATAGGGGTTGAGGGGGAAGGAAAGCAAAATAAAATGACACAGAATGACGTCTTTTTATTAAATTATTAATAAGATTAATAAATGGCATTTGTACCTAGAGTTATTTTGTTTTTTTGTTTTTTTTTCTCTCTCTAGTGTGGTTGTAGGGGTGTCAGATCCTCCGTGTTTCCTTGGACTATATTACACTTCCTGCCCTGAAGCGTGGCGTACTGCAAATAAAATAATAGAGCCATATGTAACTCTATAAGTGGGAGCCATATGAAAAAGTTCAATAACATTTTTTTCCAAATTGTTTTTCCTTAGAGCTCATGGCTTCTCTCTTACCTAAATGATGTTTGCAGCATTAGATTGGCAATGCCTTCTTCAATACCAATATATTACAGAATATATTGACCATAACCATCATTGTTAGACTATCGCTTATGACCGGCAGATCCCCAATACATTGGCAAAATCAGGCCCTGACATAGGCTAGTCTTGTTTCAGTCAGTTGGATCCAATACAAGAATCCGCACTAGGAATTAATGATCACTGCTCTAAGCTAATATTTCCTGGAGCTGCATGGTATTTATTTAGGATTAAATACAGTAAGTATCTGTTTTCTTGCAAAAAACACTTTCCTTCCTCCCCCACGGCTGGCCGGGAAAAGGAAGTTTAATCAATAAATAATAGGATAAACAGAATTGGAAAATATTTAAATTTTTAGCTATATTGGCCTAAAGTGTACGGATCCCTTGTTATTTCTCCACAATTCCTAGTTTACTGAATAAACCGCTCTGACTCAACTGATATGAGGTTAGTCATAGGAACATACTAACCTATGTAATAGTGCCCATAGAGGGTGGCTCCCCTATAGCTCCGTCTTCTAAACGTGTTAAATAAAGAACTTGTACAGTGCTATTTATACACAATAAATGTATAACAACATATTTGTTTACACAATGACACATTGCTTTCTAAAACTAGATGTTCTCTTATGACAGGTTGAAAATCTGGGGTCAAACATTTATTTTCTAGAAATTCAGGTCATTTTAGCTGTTATGAGTTACAGCTCCTGTCATAGTCATGTTGTCACGTAATTCCATTTTTATTAGCCACCACCATGTTCCATAGCGCTGTACAAACATACACGTGAACTTACAATCTAGAAAAGTGGCACTTTTACACAAGTAAACTTTTATACAGGGACACTGCTATGCCTCCAGCTTTTTGTCAGTGCTGGATATTTAGAGATGTTATGCAGAAGAAAACCGGCCGTGTCGCTGTAACTGTACAGGGGTTTTAATCCACGGGTCACCTTATGCATTGTACTCAGGTCCCCTCTCACTGGAAACTCAGAAGTCAAGGTGTGACTCATTCAAGGTGAGTAGAGGCCGTCGTCATTCTCAAAGGGTCTGTCTGGGGCCGTGTTAAAGTGTCCCATGAGGAAGATGGCAAGTGTTCCTGCTACAAACAATGGGAGCATACCCCAAAAGCAGAGAACGTCCAATACCTTTCCAATCATTATCCAGTTTTCCATCTCCTGAACAATGAGACAGAGGGGAAACAGAAAATTAGATTATTATTATTTATAAAGCGCCAACAAGTTCCATAGCGCTGTACAAGAGGTGGACTAACAGACATGTATTTGTAACCAGACGAGTTTGACGCACAGGAACAGAGTGATTGAGGACCCTGCTCAATGAGCTTACATGCTAGATTGGTGAGGTATAGTGACACAAAAGTAAGGGTAGGCTAGAAAAGTAGGTTGCTAGGATAGTGTTCGTTGATGACTAAGTGTTTTGTTTTTATGACATGGGGACGGACAGACTCACAGCTCCTTCTGTCTGTGTCACTCTGCAGGGGGAGGGACAGACTCATAGCTCCTTCTGTCTCTCACCCTGCGGCGGAGGGACAGACTCAGCTCCTTCTGTCTGTGTCACCCTGCGGCGGAGGGACAGACTCAGCTCCTTCTGTCTGTGTCACCCTGCAGGGGGAGGGACAGACTCATAGCTCTTCTGTCAGTCACCATGCGGCGGAGGGACAGACACAGCTCCTTCTGTCTGTGTCACCCTGCAGGGGGAGGGACAGACTCGTAGCTCCTGTTTGTGTCACCCTGCAGGGGGACAGGGGTCTGTGTCACCGTGTCACCCTGCAGGGGGAGGGACAGACTCATAGCTCCTTCTGTCTGTGTCACTGTGTCACCCTGCAGGGGGAGGGACAGACTCATAGCTCCTTCTGTCTGTGTCACTGTGTCACCCTGCAGGGGGAGGGACAGACTCATAGCTCCTTCTGTCTGTGTCGCCCTGCCTTCCCTGGTCACTGCATATATAGTGAATATATGTATATAGCTGTTGTCACCTGATTGCCCATGATGCTTTCTCTTTTTATCTAGTCTTGCTTTTTTTCAGTGATCAGGGTGCACACATATAATTCTCTGACAAATTCCATCATGGAAGTCCTAACACTGATGCCAGAGACTCTTCTATCCTGTTAACATTCAGTGAGTCACTTGAAAAAAAACAAGAGTATAATGCCCACACAAAAAAAATTGAGAATATCTCCTGCCGGGTGCTCCAGAAAGGAAGGGCCAATCCCTGAAGACCGCAAATGGAAGAAAAGACATATCCAGGCACACCTGAAGTTTCTATTTTTATTTTAAACTAGCATTTCGTCTCCTCTCTGAGCTCCTTAATAAAGGCTCAGAGAGAAGCCGACACGTCTCCACTTTCTTGTTTCAAATAAAAAGAAGAAACTTCACTTGTGCCTGGATACGTCTTTTCTTCCTTTCAATGAGTCACACATGGACGAGAATGACTGGCATTAAATGTGTCGCCCTTACCGCTCCTGTGACATTTTGTGACTTTGTGCTCACTGTGATGAAGTTACACGCATCCACGCAGTCCTTGATTTCTGGGGCACACTGTGCCAGGTTCCGATATAACGTGGCTGTAACCCCCACATCAAAACCATCCGCTGTAACAGAGAAGGTAGCGAGGTTAACATGGATCCAAAGTCAGTCATCCTACCATGCAATGGTCCCGGCTGCCATTTCATGGCTTCCAGTAACTGCCAGGCAGAGATATATATTGACCCTGAGAGCTCAGTCTAGGGAAACTTTGCTGGCTGTCATTCACTCACCTTTGTGGCCCCCGGGCCCCCTGCTCATTCCATGCCGTTCCCTCTGTCTCTCAAACATTAGCTCGCTCCGTGGTTTCTTTAGGATGTACTCCTCAGCCTTGAGCATTATACCCAATGAGCTTCTCCTTCGTTCGCGAGGGGTCTCCTCAGCTTCTTCACAGGGCTCCACCGTCATCCGAAGGTATTGAGGTAGCACCTCCAGGAACATCTTCCAACAAATGGATATTAATATTACTAATAGCATCACTTCAAGGGGCCCTCCCACAGCAGGAAAACAAAATGGCGGTGGTGGGACCCAGTCCAGGAATGTGCCAACCTATTAACTTTGGTGCTCCCATCCCTTAATCCTTTCCTCTCCAGCTGTCATACACCCTTACCAGACTTATGTTTTCATTACCAGGTTTGTCCCTTAAGATCCCAAATCCTTAAATAAAAATGCCATTTTATTACTTATGGTGACTTTGTGGGGGATTCACTTCTGGTGGTCTAGTTAATGGCCACAGATTTCTGTAGCACTGCTATATCATGTTGCTTATGTAGCCCGATGACAAAGTGCAGAATGAGCGGATAACATAGAATGTGATGCCATCTGTCTGAGCCCGGTAATGTTTCGGAATAGAGAGGGGGCAGTGCTATGGAGGTCACTGGCTCATTCCCAGTCCATGGATTTTTGGAGAGAGTCATTACAACCTCAGCTCCAATATTTAACATTACAAGTTCATCATTTCTGGCAGAATGTTTAATAGGTTACTCCACGCACCATCACCACTTGAGTGATTTGAAGTGGTCATGGTGCCTGGAGTGTGCAGCGTTTCGCTATGAAATGCTGCTTGTATGGATTTTGACCCCTCTGCTGTTGGAAGGGTAACTCTGCTCCGGTAGCATAATTTCACTGTAAATTGCGCCAGTAAATTGCGACGGCTTCTACAGCTTGGAGCATGTGACCAGACCGCCAGGGAGTCTTGGAGCATGGCATGGACACGGGTAAGGCAGCAAACTGGTGCTAAACTTTTTGCCCCATAACTGGGGAACCGGGTCAGGGTAACCCTTTAATACCACAATGTTACTCATGTAAGTCAAGGTAACAATCTCAGGATTATTCGCTAAAATCTCCTACTCTGCTATAGTCATACCTTGGCTTTTTTTGACTCAGTTTGGCGATTCGGAATTAATTCAGAAATATTCAGAGTCTGGTTAATAACTCTGTATGAGAGCTGGCAATGCCATATCGAAGAGTGGCTTAAACTCTTGGAGAGAGATAATTGCCAGGAGTTACATGAATTAAAGGGATTTGTATTCCCCTCTGCTGTGTAGATTCCCTGTCTCATTACTGATGATAATTGTGACACGCTGATTTCCCAGCACAGTTTAGGATTGAGCAGGTGAGTTTGGAGATATATGTCCCAGGATTAGTCAGTAGCTTCTCACATGCTTTATGTTGGCGGTGAGACGGTGGGTACTTGGTGACCGCAGAGATACATTAAGGACAATGACACAGCTCAGCACAATGAGAGTCGAGACGGACATGACAAAGATCAGATACCTATAAGACAGAAATCATTCATTGTGTAGGCAAAGTCACTGGGAAGGGCTTTAATAAAGAAAAATAGAATTATCATATACAGCTATCTGCAATGAAAAAGAAAATTTAGCCTATGTAACCCTCTTACCTTTAATTTACATTACAGAAAGATTAAGTTTTCTACCTGTGCCCCCATTCTGCCCCCTATATCTTTGCAGACAGGCAGTGCAAGCCCTCGATTGCACACTCTACAACAACTTTTGTAGGTCAAATTTCATGGCTGCAAAGTGGCAGCTAAGGAGTTGGGAAGGCTTTGAGCACACTAAATATATATATATATATATATATACAACGGGGATTCTTTGCAAGCACTCTTTTAAAAGGTGTATGTATAGTTTCAGGCCAGAGGACTCTGTAATATACTTACTTGCCAATGAGGGGGACACTGAGCGATGTCTCAGGGACCTTCTGAGCAATCAGGAAGAGGAACACAGTCTGGGCCAGGAGTACTGATATAGACACTGTACACTTCTGTCCCCCAGCTGGAGAACGACAGGAAGGAGGAGTTACCATAGGTTAAGAATACAGAAAAAGAGATTTTACTTACAGTAACCTTTTTTTACACAAAGGTCCGTTCTGAGACATTAAAGGGACACTATAGTCACATGAACAACTTTAGCTTAATGAAGCAGTTTTGGTGTATAGAACATGCCCCTGCAGTCTCACTGCTCAATCCTCTGCCATTTAGGAGTTAAATCCCTTTGTTTATGAACCCTAGTCACACCTCCCTGCATGTGACTTGCACAGCCTTCCATAAACACTTCCTGTAAAGAGAGCCCTATTTAGGCTTTCTTTATTGCAAGTTCTGTTTAATTAAGATTTTCTTATCCCCTGCTATGTTAATAGCTTGCTAGACCCTGCAAGAGCCTCTTGTATGTGATTAAAGTTCAATTTAGAGATTGAGATACAATTATTTAAGGTAAATTACATCTGTTTGAAAGTGAAACCAGTTTTTTTTTCATGCAGGCTCTGTCAATCATAGCCAGGGGAGGTGTGGCTAGGGCTGCATAAACAGAAACAAAGTGATTTAACTCCTAAATGACAGTGAATTGAGCAGTGAAATTGCAGGGGAATGATCTATACACTAAAACTGCTTTATTTAGCTAAAGTCATTTAGGTGACTATAGTGTTCCTTTAACAGATTACCTCTGATTACCCTGGGAGCAGTTCGAGATTCACTCATGCTCAGTATCCCATTGCTCCAGATAGATTAACTCTTCTCTACAAAGGGTATTCTTAATGGTCACTTTGTTATGCAGAGAGTTTAGGTGTAATCTAAACTGGGCCCCCAATGCTATACATGACATGAAGGTTTTATATTTATCACCTTTCTGTTCCACTCATCCATGTTTGGTGTCTGATGATCAAACCCTCTTTTAATTTATTTTTTTTAAGGAACACTCCAAGCATCATAATCATTCAGCACACTATAGTGGTTATGGGGCCAGAGTGCCAGAGTTTGGTTACATTGGGGTCTGCTGGGTATTCCTCCCTGTCTACTTATAACAGAACTGTTAAAAATCTAATAATATGGTAGTAAATCACCCAGGAACCTTCTCCCTGACCCCACTTAGCGCCATGTCTGGACACTAATTATCTGGACACTAATTGAATCTCAGACTAGGTGGCACCAGGGAGGGACTGTTCTATTGTTCTGTTGGTTACCCCCTTTTGTTTCACCCTGTAAAAATTCCTATGTGTTAATAAAGGTGGACTAGTTCTAACCACCAGAGGGTAGTGGATGCATGGAACAGCCTTCCAGCTGAAGTGGTAGAGGTTAACACAGTAAAGGAGTTTAAGCATGCGTGGGATAGGCATAAGGCTATCCTAACTATAAGATAAGGCCAGGGAATAATGAAAGTAATTAGAAAATTGGGCAGACTAGATGGGCCGAATGGTTCTTATCTGCCGTCACATTCTATGTTTCTATTACTGTACTGTAGCGGCGATACTGGCTGAGAGCAATCAGCTGATTAGCAGGGCTTAGCTCAGGCAATAGCTATGTGTCTACAATCGTTACTGGCCATAGCTATGTGTATAACATCGTTACTGGCCATACCTATGTGTATACCATCGTTACTGGCCATAACTATGTGTTTCCCATCATTAATGGCCATAGCTATGTGTATACCATTGTTACTGGTCTTAGCTATGTGTATAACATCGTTACTGGCCATAGCTATGTGTATACCATCGTTACTGGTCTTAGCTATGTGTATAACATCGTTACTGGCCATAGCTATGTGTATACCATCGTTACTGGCCATAACTATGTGTTTCCCATCATTAATGGCCATTGCTATGTGTATACCATCGTTACTGGTCTTAGCTATGTGTATAACATCGTTACTGGCCATAGCTATGTGTATAACATCGTTACTGGCCATAGCTATGTGTATACCATCGTTACTGGCCATAACTATGTGTTTCCCATCATTAATGGCCATAGCTATGTGTATACCATCGTTACTGGTCTTAGCTATGTGTATAACATCGTAACTGGCCATAGCTATGTGTATAACATCGTTACTGGCCATAGCTATGTGTATACCATCGTTACTGGCCATAACTATGTGTTTCCCATCATTAATGGCCATAGCTATGTGTATAACATCGTTACTGGTCTTAGCTATGTGTATAACATCGTTACTGGCCATAGCTATGTGTATAACATCGTTACTGGCCATAACTATGTGTATACCATCGTTACTGGCCTTAGCTATGTGTATACCATCGTAACTGGCCATAGCTATGTGTATAACATCGTTACTGGCCATAGCTATGTGTATAACATCGTTACTGGCCTTAGCTATGTGTATAACATCGTTACTGGTCTTAGCTATGTGTATACCATCGTTACTGGCCATAGCTATGTGTATACCATCGTTACTGGCCATAACTATGTGTTTCCCATCATTAATGGCCATAGCTATGTGTATACCATCGTTACTGGTCTTAGCTATGTGTATAACATCGTTACTGGCCATAGCTATGTGTATACCATCGTTACCAGGGCCGTCTTTAACAAGGGGCAAACGGGGCAGCTGCCCCGGGCCCAGTTGCTCCTGGGGGGCCCAAAGCAGCTGTCCCGTGGGCCCCCTGCCCGCAGCCAGGACTGAACAGCCCACCGGGATACTGAGAAATATCCCAGTGGGCTTCGGCAAGTGAAGTAATCAGGGCCCCCCGCCCTTTAATTGAGCACCCGACCGGGCCCCTGTCTGTATGCCTGCTGGGAGGAAGTGAGGTGAGATCACTTCCTCCCAAGTAACAGAGTGCCGCTGGGGAGGAGGAGACACACATGGAAGTGGAGGAGAGGGAGGATACACACAGGAGGAGGAGGTGAAGGAGAGGGACTGAGGTAAACATGTTCATCAGACTCCCATCAACCTCAGCCATCCAGCTTCCACTGGACCCCAGGGAAGCCACCCTTCTCTAAAGGTAAGGAGACAAGAGGGTGGCTAGACTTACCGGTAAATTGATATAAATGTGTGTATATCTGACTGTATGTGTATATCTGACTGTATGTGTGTATATCTGACTGTATGTGTGTATCTGACTATGTATGTGTATATCTGACTATGTATGTGTGTATCTGACTATGTGTGTATATCTGACTGTATGTGTGTATCTGACTATGTGTGTGTATGTGTATGACTGTGTGTGTATCTGACTATATCTGACTATGTGTGTATATCTGACTATGTGTGTGTATCTGACTATGTGTGCGTATCTGACTGTGTGTGTATATCTGACTATGTGTGTGTACCTGACTGTGTGTGTGTATCTGACTATGTGTGTGTATCTGACTGTATGTGTGTGTATCTGACTGTATGTGTGTATCTGACTGTATGTGTGTATCTGACTATGTGTGTGTATCTGACTATGTGTGTGTATCTGACTGTGTGTGTGTGTGTATCTGACTATGTGTGTATATCTGACTGTATGTGTGTATCTGACTATGTGTGTATATCTGACTGTATATGTGTATCTGACTATGTGTGTTTGTGTATCTGACTATGTATGTGTGTATCTGACTATGTGTGTGTATCTGACTGTATGTGTGTATCTGACTGTGTGTGTCTGACTGTGTGTGTGTATCTGACTATGCGTGTGTATCTGATTTTATGCTTGTGTATCTGTATGTGTGTGCGTTTGTATCTGGCTGTATGTGTGTATCTGGCTGTGTGAGTGTCAGTGTGTGTGTATCTGGCTGTGTTTGTGTCAGTGTATGTGTACCTTTGTGTCAGTGTTTATGTGTATCTATGTGGATGTATACCTGTGTCCGTGTACTTGTGTGTCAGTTTGTATGTGTACCTGCATGTCTGTGTATGTATATGAGTGTCAGGTTGTGTAAGTGTGTATCTATGCGTGTGGCAATGCATACGTTCCATCATTCCAGTACCAACACTGCACACATATACACTACTACATTCCAACGCTAAGACTGCACACAAATACACCACTGCATGTGTATCTGTGTTCCTGTGTGTATCTCAGTGTTTGTGTAAGTGTGCATCTGTGTGGCAATGCATACATCCCAGCATTCCTTTGCCAACACTGCAC